GGTCGGTACAGGTGGTCCAGTGGCCACCTTCTCTGTGTGGGACTATGTGGTGTTCGCTGGAACAATTTTGGCAGCAGCTGGTATTGGTCTTTTCCAGGCCATTCGAAGCCGTAAGGAGACCAGCACTGCTGAGTTCTTGTTGGGCGGACGGCAAATGACAGCTGTGCCAGTTGCCATGTCGCTCACTGCCAGCTTCATGTCTGGCATCACGGTCATTGGCACACCTGCTGAGGCCTACCAGTTTGGAACTGCCTTCTGGCTGTTTGGCTTCTCCTATGCCATCATGTCTGCTGTCACTGCTGAGATCTTTGTCCCGCTTTTCTACCGACTAGCAATTACCAGCGCCTATGAGGTAAGAAGATTTAAATTATTTCAAGGTACAAAGTTGGAAAACAGTTGCACCAGGAAATAAGATTTAAAAACCAATAAAAGGAAGCACACTTTATCAGTAGCACAGGTTAATGTGGCTAATGATTCATCCAACATCTGTGGTTCAGGAGACTATTTTTTCCAGGTGCTATAAAAGTATAACCTCCAAAGGGTGGGTGAAGGTTTGGAGAAAACAATCAAATAAATAAATAAATCTTTATTATCTTGTAAATATGAATGTAGAAACCAAAGCCAGTATGTGGGAACCAAATCATTGCTTTAGTGATGTCTGAGTAGGTTTCTCTTTTGTTTTTAGTACCTGGAGATGCGCTTCAGCCGAGCCATTCGGTTGATCGGAACATCAATGTACATCGTACAGACGGTAACAATAACATGCTTTTATCTTAAAAAAAAAAAAAAAAGAGGATAATCAATTACTTTAGTCTATTTAAATAATGAAAAACCGAAAGCACAAAACTGTGACAAATGGAACAAACCCATGATTAAATCTCACACGTAAACAGCACCTGGCTTTTTTTTTTCTTTATGTAAAACTGATTCATGACGCCACTTCCAAGAAACCATTAATATTGAATCACATGCCTGGTGTGCTTCTATCTAATCAGCTAATGGTGGCATCTTCTCTCAGGTCCTGTACACCGGCTTGGTTCTCTACGCTCCAGCTCTTGCACTAAATCAAAGTAGGTCAAATAGCACAAGCTCACAAAATGAGGGCAGATAATACTTTTGAGATTTCAGCCTTTCTGAACTGTAACTTAGTAAACTACATCCTGATGACGGTGTTCTGTGAAGTCTCCTTGAAATGATGTATGTTGTCCTAAATACAGTTTATACACAACTCACAGTGTTAAGGGACTTTTTCTTTCTCACTTGGGTTTATCTTATATACACGTCTGACCTAAGAGAGTGTGTCCCACTTGTGATCCTGTTTGAAATAAAGGAGAACCAGCTTTTTTAGCACAGAATAAAAAAAAAATTAATAAATACATATTTTAATATATTAATCATAATGGAGCTTTTTTTCCCCTGACTACTCAGTCACAGGACTTGATCTGTGGGGAGTGCTGGTGGCTACAGGAGCAGTATGCATCCTCTACTGCACTTTGGTTCGTACTGTTTTAGTTTGATTTTCTTGTGCTCTCTCAAACTTGTAATGCTACAGTCCTGGTCATGTCTGTTGAAAAGGATGTTGCTACCCTGAGAGCTACCTGGCTAAATTAAGATAAAATAGATAAATAAAATAAATTTAAAAACTATGCATTTCAAAAAGCATTAATTATCTGTGTACACAACAGTGTACAGGAAGTGCATAACAATGCATATAATGAATATAAAACAGAAACCCTTGTAATCAGTTCATCATAAACTTCTAAAATTCTACCCTTTGCTATCATCATTCACCTATTTTAGTTCGAGGTGTGGTTAATGAATCTGCATGATAATTGTAGAGTTGTAAACCTTTTAACATTAAGTCTAAACTAGCATTAAATTGGAAAAAAAAAAAAACTCTACAAAACTACTTGTAAATGTTTAGTATGACCCTAACATGGAGCTTGTTTCAGGGCGGTTTGAAAGCAGTAATCTGGACAGACGTGCTGCAGATGGTGATCATGTTGGCAGGTTTTGTGGCTGTTATAGCTCGAGGAGCTGTACTGCAGGGAGGCCTGACGAAGATCTGGGAAGACGCCGATCAAGGAGGCAGACTAAAGACATTTGAGTATGTACGACGGTAGACTAGAGGCAAACAGTGTTTGTTGTTGGAGTTTAAAACTGGTTATAATAGCAGTAATCAGTGGGTTTGCAGCACAGCATGTTTGCACAACAAGTTTTCAGCCACAGGAAAACAACTAGGATTCCAGGGTTCCTGTAAATCTTGTTTTCTGCAGTTTTCAAGGAAAACTTCACTGATATAATCAGACTTCTTTGCTGCTGGGGTCTCCAAAATGTTACCTTCTTCCATGTCTTTCACTGCAGCTTTGACCCAGACCCTCTGAAGCGGCACACTTTCTGGACCATTATAGTTGGTGGCAGCGTGATGTGGACGTCTATCTACTCAATCAACCAGTCCCAGGTGCAGCGCTACATCTCCTGCAAAACGCAAGAGTTAAGAATTCCTGCAAGGCAATACAAGCACTACATTATTGGCTGTGGGAGAAGCTTCATGCACTGACAAGTCTTTTTCATCTCTCAGGTCTTTGTATGTGAACATGGTTGGCCTGTGTGTAACTGTGAGTCTGGCTATGCTGTCTGGCCTCACCATGTACTCCATTTACAAGTCCTGTGATCCACTTTCAAATGGGGATGTAAGCACCTCTGACCAGGTAAATGCAACTGCAATTGTCTCTTGTTGGATGTCATGCTGTTTGCAACCTAACAGAGTGTGGTTGTACATTTAGCTACTACCATACCTTGTAATGGATATTCTGGCAGACTACCCTGGAATCCCTGGCCTATTTGTGGCTGCTGCATACAGTGGTACCCTAAGGTGAGGCCTGAGACAAACAAACAACAACCAAAACAAAAATAATAATGAAAAGAAGTGAAAAGAATGAGCTGGCAACAATTGAAGGACTTACTCACATCATTATTGATTTGATTGGATTTATTTTTTCAAGCATGTAAAGACAGTTATGTCAACACACATAATTTTACACATATCCAACAAATGCTAATCCAATATCAATTTGCTTATACCTAGTACATGCTTGAATGGAGTAGGAAGAAGTCAGACTTATCCAGTCCTACCCCATGACATCATCTTACCATCATTGTCTAATGGTACTTACTGATCTCTGGTCAGGTTCAGGTGATGAGCCCTTCTCTGCAATTCTTCTCTCAATTCTATTACTATTTTTTATGTCCACACTTAAATTATTCCATAGTTTTACCCCACTTATGGAAATACAAAATCTTTTTTTGGTTGTACGTATAGCATGAATTTTATAATTTAACTGACCCCTTAAATTGTATCCCCCTTCCCTTTCATTAAATAGTTTTTGCATTCCACCAGGTAATAAATCGTTCCTGGCTTTATACATAAACACAGCAGTCTTATATTCCACTAAATCAAAAAATTTTAACAATTTAGACTGTATGAAAGCTACATTGCTACATTATTCACCAACTACGAAAGAAGTTATCATTGTATTTACTTTTACATCACACTATTTACACATTATACAAGAACTCACCGTCCGCGTGCTGTGTGTGACTAATCTTATCTGTTACCTAATCTGCCATTTAATTTGCATCAGCAATTCTGTTCTTTCAATGACTAAAGACTATGACTTGGATTTTTTCCAGCACAGTGTCGTCCAGTATTAACGCCCTGACTGCTGTCACTGTGGAAGACTTTATTCTCCCTCTGTACAAAAACCTCACAGAGAAACAAAGTTCCTGGATGAACATGGGCCTGAGTAAGTTGTGAGACACATACTTTCATGGTAGCCCAAAAATGACCTTGTATTGAAAAAGTGGAAAAGTTGAGTGTAGCCAGATTTTTTTGTGATTTACTAAAAAAAAATTGTTAATAAAAACGCGTTTCTTGCAAAATCTTACTTAATTTCCCAGTTCAATCATTTCATTTCAGAAAATTTGACCGAAAATCTTCCCTCTTCATAATCTTGTATGAGTTTATAGTACATTATGTCAGTAATCACCAGTGTGACTCCTATGACGCTCACACTCCTTGAAACTCAGCAAAGACCAGTACTCATCAAGATAACTGTTATCTTGCTATTCTTAGCGGCTGATTAAACATGTTATCAGTTCTATGGGGCAAGTTACTGTATGATCACAAATGATAGTGTGTCCTGTGAAGTTTGCTTCACGGGACACACTGTTCAAACAGCATTTTGAAGGTAATACAATCTGCAGCATTTCATCTGGTATGTTTACAGAGAAAAACCTGTTCAGACAGGAACATGTCAATTTGATGAAGTTCTTGGAAGTATAGGGTCAAGGGGAGGAGCACTAGTATCTAAGTTTCTGTGAGAATAGTTCCTCAAGAAATCATCATTCACCACCCGTCACCAGGTTATAGGCATTGGTTAGTATGGATCTATGTGCTCCTTGTACACAAGTTCACAACGTTCTTGTTAATTACAGTGCAGTTATACAGATAGAGCTGGTATTTGTGGGAGAGGCAAAAAAAAAAGAAAAACATTCTTGCAAGGTTCTATGACGTAGATTTGAGACTTTTCAAAACTAATATGCAATTTAATACCAGTTTCCTGATCACACTGTCTAAAGTATTTAAGTAGACAAAAACCGCCTTCTGACAGGTGAATAAAACATCTTTAAGCAGGCAGGAGTACTTTGTAAACTAAATAAGACTTTTTAAGGTCTTTTTAAATTCAGTCCATTTTAAGACCATCATATACTCTAGAAAATCTAATGCATAAAAGTATTTTTAAAATACACTGACTACCAAAAGCACCTTCCAATAAAAAGTGTTCACTAAATGTTGATGAGAGGTTGTAAATACTGTATGCACGCCTGTATACCGTGTGGATTCATCACAAAACGACACCACAGACCTTCACACACTGAATTGTGGCTTCCTTCTTTTTGCTGTCAGTTATCATGCATGATGCTTTTACTGGTCTGTGGCTCACACATTTTCTCCATGTTTAGTCATGTTCGGTGGTTGTGAACGTGTGCCTTAGGCCAACGTCTTGAACGCCACTGCTCCCTGTTAGCAGTGACACGCACTGTTACATACCAGAGTGGGGGGAGACTTCAGTTCACCTGAAGGGATGTGAGAAATGTCATATGTTAACTCATATGCACTGCAGTTTGGAAGTAACAAGATTCTTTTTTTTCTTCGATAATTTTGACATGAACAACTCCCAGGTGTTTTCTTTGGTGCCCTGTGTATTGGAATGGCTGGAATTGCTTCACTGATGGGAAGCGTTCTGCAGGTAACCCTCTCCAACACCATGCACTAACACTACTTCTGCATTTCTTACTTTACAGCACCACCATGAGCTCAGCGTTAACAACTACAATCCTCCTGACATTTTTCTATTTTCAGGCAGCTCTGTCCATATTTGGCATGATCAGTGGGCCTCTTCTTGGTCTTTACCTATTAGGCATGCTCTTCCGCACATCAAATTCAATAGTGAGTATTTCCTGTTGCTGCCATATTCACTAGAAAAACTGCACCCTCAGTTGCTAAAAAAAACAAACAAACTATGAAGCATTTGACTGCAGTCATACTAACTCTGCAGGGAGGCCTGGTGGGGATGATCATTGGTCTGCTGTTGACTCTGTGGGTGGGGATCGGAGGCCAGATTTATCCTCCAACAGATGAAAAGACAAATCCTCTCCCACTCACTACTGTCGGCTGCAACATCACAATGGGTCAAAACTACACAACAGAAGCTCCCTTGCCTGAGTGAGTCATATTATACAGAACAAAGGTTTGTTTGCTGATACTAAAGCAGATGATACAGTCACAGTAAATAGGAACACTAAGCATTTTAATGAACTAAAGTACAAAAATTGGCTGCATCCACTGTCTGTGGACTACATTTCAGGCACAGACCTTTTCTCCGGGCTTTAAATGCGATTCAAAAGAAATTCTGGAATACCATGCAAGATACGCACAGAACGCCATCAATTAGTTGTTTAACTGATGAATCCGTTGACAGAAAATTAATCATCAACTTTTTTGATAACTGACTCGTTTTTTTTAAAGCAAAAATACCAATTTATCAAATGTGGCAGTTTTTTCTGCTTTATATCATAGTAAATTGAATATTCTTTGTTTTGTACTATTAGCTGGGTAACTGAATGTTTTCTGACATTTTATAAACTAAACAACAAATAGATATATCAACAAAAAAGCCCTTCTTCAAACAGCAAATCGTCAAAATGAAGTGTTAACCACGTCAGTGCAGCAAATGTGGAATGACATGAAGGTGATTATTGAAAACATTTCCTTTATCGGTCAGTGTCAGGCCGCCTTTGGCAGACTCCTGGTACTCTCTCTCCTACGTCTACCTCTCTCTCTTGGGCACACTGATCACAATTGTGTCTGGCCTGCTGGTGAGCATGATCACAGGTGAGGCCTCCTTCCCATCTTCTACTTTGACCGTAGAGACACATCAGTGATGCTGCTATTTTTGTATATTCTACCAATAATCTACTATAAAAACCAGTTGGGGAATATGCATCTATATCTGTTCAGGTGGATGCAAGCAAGAGAAACTTGACTCTGATCTGTTTGTGAGGACGAGCGACCTGATCTGCTTCAGATGCTTTAGTAAATCCAAGGTAAGGTGTTGAGGGAAAGTGGTAACAAAGTAAGAACAGTATGACTCAACAAAATACACAATTGTTTAACATTATTAATGTGCTTCTTACTGTTCTTAACCTACTGCAGGTATCAGACATCACAGAAAAGACTGCTGCAGATTTTAACATGGGAGCCGACAACTTGGCGTTCACAGACCATGATGTGACAATAAAAGCTGATGAAAACACCGAACTGTAACACCATTTCTGTTTATATGAATTATGTACATACCATTTAGATTTTATATTAAGAAGGAGCACGACAACTAGTGATAAAGCTCGGTAAAACTAAAACTGGATTTTAAGAGCGTGTCATTCAAATTCAAAAACTATAATTGCAGCTACCTCGTTGAGGTGCCTCAACAACAGAAAAGACATTTACATTAGGAGTTTTTGTATCACCTAGTGGTATATAACACTTTGTTTTAATTAAATCATCACATCAGCTATTGTAGTATTCAGCAGCACATCACCACACTGACCGAGCTGCTCCCTTTTCATGTTCAGTGATAATGTGGCAACACTGCACCTGTTAATGTTTAATTAACCTTTGTCAGAAAAACACCCTGGAATATTGTTGTTGCTTGTTTGTTTTTGAGAATTTGTTTACTGCCTGTTTGGAAATTGTGCACTCCGTATGAACCATGTGTACAAATTAATCACAAATTTTTTTACTTGTAATAAATGTTTTACACAGTTAAACTAGTTTTACTAAAAACACCTGCACAGTCACAATGGTCAAAATGAAGTAAATAAATTTCCTACTATTATTTTCATGTTGCAACTTGCTGTTACTATTTCAGAGGCAAATATTGTGCTTTTTTACTCCACTATATTTATTTGATCATTTTACTTTTCAGCTTAATAAAACAAAGCACAGTATATACTCTAAGACTTCACTGATCCTCAGTGGGAAACTCACGAGCTACCCAGCAGTATGCAAACCAGTTCAACCTGTAAATATATAACTTTACCAACTGCAACATTAAAGTGATGTAGACAATAATGTGTCAGTAAATATAAACCAGTAATGTGATATACATTAATCAAAAATTGCATTTTAGCACAGCAAGACCTTTTAATGAGGTACTTTTGGTACTTTAAGTACAATTTTGAATGCAGGACTTTTACACTTGTAACAGAATATTGTGGCAGCGGGAGGGCAGAGAGACGCTTGGCGGGATGTCCCATAATGCCTGGGGCGGTGTGTATATAGTTCAGGTTGTTCGGAGAGTGTGTTCTGTTGCTGTGCGGTTGTACCGTGTGTGGAAATAAAACAAGAAAAACACAAACTCTGGTCTCCGACCCTTTTTACCTCAGCCAACACTACAATATTTTTACACTGTAGTATTTCTGTGTTTACTTATATAAAATATCAGAGTACTTCTTTGACCACTTTACAGAACTTCAGTGAGTGCACAACCTGGGTGTGTATGTGAGAGAACACAGGACAGCGAGAGGGAGATTGAGCTTTGGTCTGTGTTACAATGGATCTTTGGTCTCCTTGGAAACACACAATAGAGGAAGTTCACAAAGCACTGACCTGCCCACACTTACCTGCCACTTACCAGCAAACCAGCCCTTCAACTGTTCCAGATTTTCAGGAAGTGGAGAGTCAGCCGTGACATGGAGGCAGACCAGCTGTCAGGGAGGTGAACAAAGCTCCTGTTTTCAGTCAACAAAGTCACTGTTTTCGGCCATACTGACAAAACAAGGTGAGCTGGGTTTCTTTTTCAGTCTACCACAGTTAACTCTGTAAAAAGAATGTACTTTTTAATTAAGGTTTGGGCTTAGTCAAGCTTTCATGTCAGAGGGAGATTAGAAAAGTTCCCGCTGTCAGAGCTACACAAGATCAGAGAGCTGGTTTATTTTCCTACTGGGTTATTTCTTGCTTCAAATACTGTATGTTGTTAATGTAATCTGTGAAAATATATTGCACATGACCTATATACAAAAGGCACTGTGTTTAAAGTGTTGTTTTCCCTAACACTGTCAGGACATTAAAAACAGAAACTATATATTACTGAGCTGTTTTTTTCCAGCACAGTGTTAAGTGTTTATTTGACATAAATGTTTTTCAGCCTATGTTTCTTTTCTAGTACAGGACTCAATGGCCATGGATATCATCTTAGCTTCTCTGGCATGTGTCCTTCTGGCCATTTCTTTTACTACGGTGCAAGGACAAACGAATGTGACGACCAGCCCTGGCTTAAACTTCACACATGTGACTACAGTTGTAACTTCATCCAACTCTACTGAAAATCCAAACATGACTGAGGGCACAGTTACATTTAAAAGCACAACCCAGAACAACGAAACCACAAGTCAGTCCCCGCCTTCTCAGTCAACAACCTCCGTGACTGCTCTGACAAATGGCACCTCAACAACCTCCGTGACTGCTCTGACAAATAGCACCTCATCAACCACCGTGACTGCTCTGACAAATAGCACCTCAGTGATGACGACAACACCTGGCAATCACACTCCGACATTTACTGCGCTGACAACACCAGCAATCGAGACCACAGCAGGTTATACAAGTACACCTGATACTACAGTAATTACAATATCAAAATCACCTCCCACTGCCAGTACAAGCTCAGACTCAGAGGACAGAACCACACAAGGTAAGCATCAGGCTGTGTGTTCTTATTTGAGGTTTAATTAATGATTTAATTGCTCATAATTGTCAGTTACTATAACTTCACCCTTTTCTTCATGTGCTTCTAGGTTTGGGGTTAAACATATCGGAAAAGAATCTGACTATTGTCTTCAGTGTTATACTGGGAGTGTTTGCTGTGGTACTGGTCGTGTTCATGTTTCACAGATGCAAACAAAAAGTCCAATATTTGCATCAACCTCTTCACAACAATGGTGACACAGGTAGGAGTTTTCCATTTATCATATGTGAGACAGAACCTAATTTACTTATCATTACCTGTTAAAAACTAAACATTTAATCTTCAACAGATGTATTTGTGACAGACGATGACACACTTGTAATATCTGGAGGACTTTATGACGGACACCCGATATATGACAACGTACCAACAGCCCCAGCAGACCAATCTCAATTTCGCCTCGAGTTCCTTCATTAAAGAGAGAGAAGTCCCTTCTGACACTTACCAAACATGGACATAACCAGTTTTCCTAATACACATATTACCACAATTTCAAAACTGAAGTCCCTGTGAAATGTTAATCCATAAAATGCTAATGACAGAGGAGGAGAGAACACTGCTGATCAATTTGACCTCAACTTTTACTTATATCGCTGCCAATACTAGGACACACGAATATTAAATACATATATTAAGAGAGTAACACATGACACCACCCCAGCAATATAAACTTGTGCAGAATGAATAAGATTTCATGTGAACACCAGTAAAGATAAATTATTCCATACAACAGTGCTACAACAAACAGAACATTTTCCAAAGTACCTGAAAGCACAGAGGGTGACTCTACAGTCACTTAACACTGAACTCTGAACAAACTTGCCACAAAAGCTGGAACGAACACCTAAATCTTTCTGTTAACAGTAAGTACAGCAATACTTACTATGTACGTTAAGAAATAATAGAAAAAGGTTTGGCTGTTAATTACCGTCTATTTGACCCCAAACTCAACTACCTAAGCATATTAATATAAACACACAATCTGCCTATTATTACTACTCATCAGTTAATCTGACCATTGTCAGCGCTACTTAAGCAAAGATCTTTTCATTAATCGTCTTCTTCTTCTTGTCACAGCCAGTGACAGCAGTCCAGCCGGCATCTCTCATCCTTTTCACTGCAGCTAGCTTCAAGGCATTTCCTTGTGATATTTGAGGGTCAGGACTCTGGATCTGAAAATAATGTTGATCCAATTTTTTGAATGAATTTCCAGGGATGATTTAATCCCTTTCCATGCATAAAACATATAAATTTTTAAATATTATCAAACTGCTATGAGCACATTACCTTTTTAAAGACGTCAACTTTGCAGCGGGGAGCAGAAAAATTGGATGTAGGTGCATTGGCAAAAGACTATCAAGAAAAAGAAAGGCCAAATCAGCTCTTCTGGCAGTCTTGCATAAATAATCAAATAAAATCCACAAATAATTCTGACACAAACTGTTGATCAATAAAAGACTACTCACAAATAGATCACTTTGATCCGAGCTGTCAGACTTGGATTCAAGCTCCATGGTGCTCTTCCCCCAGCTTGCTGCTTTTCCAGCAGAAGGTGGTGTCATTATTCTGTAGGCCTGTAAGGGAAAAGAGTAAATGTCAGCTCACATCATCAATATTTTTATTCATTTTGGAAAACTGAGAGATGATGCTGTATATTACTTTAATCTTTGATGTTCCGCCAGCCCTGTTTGTAATACTTCCTGGGGTTTTCAGGTCTTCAGTGTGAATATCCTATGATGCAAAGTCAGTGTCAGGCTGAGTTATTATGAATGCTACAGACACTCACAGATTAACCTGAGTGTTATTATCACCATAGCCAGCTACAGTTGAGTTTAGAAGCTTTTGTCTACCTTGAGGCTTGTACTGCTGAAAGATTATTAGCTGGCATCCCTGATGGGATGATGATCTGTATATTGCTGTGTAAGTAAATACACAATGTCTTTGCCTAATTGGTCTAAAATATTTCAGCAGATTGAACTTACAGCTATCTTCATAACTGCAGCACTCCCATCATCTTCGCTGTACAAGGGGATTTTCCTGGTTTTGGAGAAGTCAAACATGTGTCTCTTTGAAGAGCTCTCTTTGGGAGTTTCTGAACACCACCCTTGTTTATAGTCCAGGGCAGGTGACTAGAATTTTAAAGATGAATTCTTGTGAAGTGATGACAAACCATGTCATGAGCAGTAGCCTATCTGATCATGGACAAAGTTTGTACCTGCTTGTTCTTTGCTTCTGACAGTGGAGAGACTTTCTTTGATAAGATTTCTTCCTTCAGATCAGTCAGCTCCTTCTGTAGGTTTTCCTAATAGCAAAGCAAAGTGTTCTCAAAGAACAAGCCAGCACACCCTGTTTCACTAAAAAGCCAAACGTAAACTATAGCTGATTCAAACTAGGACATACCTTCTCTGTTGTTTCTGTCTTCAGCAGTTTCTTCAGCTGATCATTTTCTTTTTTGTGCTTCGAGAGATCCAACTCCTGATTTAAAAATTGTTTAAGAGAAATATTACAATAAAACTGATTCATTATCTACTGTAATTGTTATTAAATGATGATAAACATTTACTTTTAGCCTCATACCAGTGAGTTCCTCTGGGCAACAGCCTCCATCTCTTTCTTTTTGTTCTCTTCAAGCTCTGCATCCTTTGCTTCAATCGTCCGGTCATACTGGCTCTATTAATGACAAGTTCTTTCCAATGCAACATGTGTTTGGACTGACAGTTACACTGTACAAAACTATTTTCAGTTCACAAACACACTTTGCGATGACCTTACCTTATGTTTTTCCATCAGTGTGACCATATCTGCTATCTTGTGTTGACACCTGAGTTCTGCATCTTCCTTGTTCTTGATGGCCTCTGCTTCTGTTAATCGGAGCTTTTTTACCTGTAAGACCAGATGTTTTTATTCTTTTTTATTCTGAAGAGCTAAAATTGCGACAGATAATGTTAGTGTATAAGTGACCTCATTCTCAAGATCTGCTGTGAAGGCTGATTTGGACTCAAGCTCTTTAAGCAACTTCTGATGGTCTTCTTCATTTAGTCTTTTAATGTTCTGGGACTCCTCATGAAGACTCTTTATCTAAAGACAAAAACAAGCATCTACATTAAACAAAGCAACACTTATTAGTTTTAACATATTACATTAACATTACAAAACAAAAGATAAAAAACATACCATAGTTTCAAGTTGACTGGATTTCATAGTCTCCTTTGCTATTTGTTTCTTGAGCATTTTATTCTAAAATACACATCCGAACTGTTAGCTAAATAAATAAGACAACACAAGTACTGTACACTATATATGCAGTTTCATAATCATCACATACCTCTTTCTGATATTTCTCCTGGGCATTACGTGTCATTTCAATTTTCTTCCTGAGTTTGCACAGCTAATAACAAAGAAATACTGGTCAGCCCCAGAAAATGAACTTTATTATTGGCATTTTCATTTTTCAGTTTTATAATCACCTTTGTTTCTACAGCTTTGATCCGTTTTTCTTTTTCTGTGATGTCCTTTCTCATTTGTTCACACTATAAACAAAATGCACAGATAACCCAATGTTTACTGCTTTCAGAACAGGTATCTTTATGCCTTGCTTCTATTGCTAATGGGTTTAATTAGCATACTTACATTTTCTTCAATTTTCTTCTCAAGACTCTCTGTTTCCTGACATTTCCCTTGGAAATGGTTTTTAATAGAGTTTACCTCCTCTCTATATAATGAAAATAACTGAATATAAATTTTGAAAACTATACACTCTCAAAAATCTTTAGGTCTCTCTACTGTAAACTCACTGTAAACACTGGTTTTCCTTTTCCAGTCCTTGAATTATGGTTGTGAACTTCACAGTCTTCTCCTCACTCACCTGATCAATCAAAACTATTGTTTTGTCATTTCTGATACAGTAAGTCATGAAAAATAAAACAGCTACTCTACACATGAAATGACCTGTCACATAATGACCAGGTAACTCAGACCTTCATGTTTGCCTCAATAGTTTTCACATAAGAGGATCCGCTGTCAAACTGCTGCTGAATGGCCATCTTCTCTGACTTAAGCTCATTAAAGTTGGTTAAGAGCTCCTCATATTTTACTCTTAAAAATGACATAAATTAAACATTAGACACAAAGAGTCAGTTTAATATGAAACTCTTCAACTAATATTATGGAATGGCTGAGTATTAAGAGCTCACTTCTGATGTGCGATGTCTTTCCTCAGTTGCTCCATCTGAAAAGTCTGCTCTTTATTTTTATTCATTTCAGTTAGTAATTGTCCTTCCAGCTCCTGCACTTTGATCTGAGGATATATTAAAAGACATAAAAAAAAACATAATCCAGTGAATAGGGGTGTGATTAGATATTGCGCCACAAGATCTTGTGATATTAAAATGTGATGATATTTCTTGTCAAGGCAAAAGCTGTCTCATGATATCAGTACATAACAGATTTGGAGCTGCAGCCAGTATGATGGAGTGTGATGGCAAAATGACGGTACATTCACATTAGTCTGGCAAAATGCAACTCCCTGCTGTTTTAACAGACAGTGGTGCATGGGGGAAGGGGGGGTTGAGGGGTTGCAGGAGAGTTTTATAGGTGTGTACGATATGGCCATGTTGTGACGACTCGATGTGAGTGGCTTCTTTCATGTTTCCAGCCCGTGAGTTTGTTGTGTTCTGGTTAGCCATGCTGCTAATGTAGCCTTCTTTACTTTAGCACCAATTCTACCACCAGTGCGTCGGCACTGATAGAAAAACACCGGCTAAAATCCAGTACTAATGAAAATGCATGGAGTGTCGTTATGGGTGTAAATGGTGGCCCAAATTCAGCAGTGAATAGCAGTGAATGCTCATGCTAACAAGATAAACAACAGAGTCTTCTTCCCACGGGCATCCACGTCCACGATTGTCCCCTGTACATGACTCATCAATGCAGTGCCTTTGCCAGATGATGGTACCATCTGGTGCGGTGTGGTGAGCGCGCAAATACCACAGAAGGCCACACAAAGCTTAAAGTTAGAAGCTCATGCACAGTTCTAAGGTCTGAAGAGACTCATGTGAAATCATACAGGAGAGAAGCCAGTCAGCCGAGTTTGTGGCAAAACTTTTTACCGTACTTGCAGATCATTGTCTTTTACTGCGTATGATAATTCATAATCTCATAATGTAGAACTGAAGTGACATTTATTAAAAGATGATTAAGATGTTTCAAAATGTGCCTGCATTGTTTGCATTTTGTGACTTTCAGCTGAATAAAATACTATTTTTCTAGTCATATATTTTGTCATTGAAGATTTCTTAAAAATAGTGGTATCATCTCATCTCGTCGTGAACCCAGTAACATGTATCGTCACGTCTCGTGAGTCACACCCCTACTTGTGAAGCTAAATAGTGTACATAACATACAGTGTAATTCCCCACAAATTATTTTCACAGTGGAACAGAGTAAGAACATGAAAATCAAGTAAAAACCTGAGTCAAGGTAGACATCTTCTGTAAATTCTCTCGTGCCTTTTCAGCAGCTTCACAATCCTTTTTCAGTAGATCATTTTTATCAAAGGCCATCTCTGCTTCATGCTGTATGAATTAAAAAAAAAATTTCTAGGGTATGTATTTTCAGTCATTAGAATAATTTAAAAAAAAGACCTTTTTGCTTCTGAGATGAGGTAACTATCTGTATCACCTTAAATTTCTGGGCTTCTTCACTTTTCCTTGAAAGCTCAGCTGCGAGTTCCCCCACTCTGACTTCAGTTATGTCAATCTTACTCTTCATGGACTCATAGGATTTAGATTTTATGTCCTAAGAACAACAACATACAGTGCTGCATGAGTGTCACATCTGGGCTACAATCAATGCTTAAAAAGAAAGAATATACTATTCCACAAATGTAAAGCAAACTTTACCAGTTCATCTTCAAGAATTTGGATCTGCCCATCTTTCTTTGCACTCTGCTCCATGGTCTCTCCTGTTGATAAGACAAAGAAGCAGCTTTATTTATTGTGGCACGTACAATGAAATTATGCTTGGAGCTGAGGGCCCTGGGCCGCAATCACAGGCAAGGACCCTTTGACACGTGGACCGCAGGCACTGAGAGGCGAACCTTCAACCTTCCGGTTGGGAAACAACTGCTCTACCCACCGCACCACTGTCGCCTCCCGATTCAAACATATTCACTCAGCCCAACTGAGCACCAAACAAAATGATCAACATAATTCACACAGTGACGCTTACCTAAAAGTGATTTTGTCATTTCAAGTTCCTTGTGGTTTTCCAAGAGTTTATCCTCAATTTCCTTGCTCCTTGACAATCATGAACATAAAACAGGAACATAATGGAAAAAGGTCAATTGTATTTTATCTTGAAAATAGAGAATTTACAGTTAATTATACCTCTGTATCTCTAGAGCTAGTGATTTCTGCAGCTCCTGAATGGTTGTCTGAATCTGCTCCAGCTTCTCTGCCTGTTGATTTTTAACTCTGCTGAGCTCCTGCAAATCGAGGTCTTTTGTTTGAATGATCTGTACATATTCTTCTTTACTCTGCTCCAGGGCTGCAGAAATAGCTTCCCGAGTTTTCTTTCAGAGAAAGATAATATTTGTCAAAGGAGATATAACATAACATAACAGAGCCCAGTTTCATGACAACAAGAATCTTAAGACTAACCTCAGTTTCCTTACAACACTGTTCAGCAAGGTGCAGTTTTTGAAGAAGAGACTCTTGCTCAGTTTTCAAGCTTCTGAGAAGTTCACACTGTTCATCTGTAGAGATAATAAATATACGTTATCTTTAGTATTCTCAGAATCACAAAGTGTACTAATACTGCTCATGGAACTTGACTTAAAATATCTTCTGTAAAATGTGGAGTCTAAATATACATTTTGCAGCTATAAGCACTAACTTGCTGTCTCTTGAAGTTGTTTGCAATGGTTTTGGGTTTCATAAAGATTAAGCAGGACGTTTTGTAGTTCATTTTCCTTATCCATAAGTTTTGTCTGAAGCACTGCAACCTGTGGATGCATCGACAATCCTTAAGCTTTCTTTCAAAACATGGTTACATTAACTTCCCAAGTAAACTCATCTAAAGGGAATTTTACAAACCTCTTTCTCCTTCATGTTATATTCTTGATGGCATTTCTCTTTTAGTTCTTCAATTTGCAGCAAGCCCTTTTTAACTGGAAAAAGTTTAATTATTAACCCTTTTGTTTGCGTACACTGTAGTTTGTAATCTATCAATAATTCATCTTAGTGTAAGTCATTACAGGAAGATTTTATCCTTCATTATTATTACCAAATGAAATTGTCTCAAGATTTTATACTATAGTGAAGAACCCAACAGTCCGACACGGAATAAATATACCTCTCTGCATTTCTTGCTGATCAGCTTCTGCTTGAATACGAAGGCTTTCAAATGCAGCAATCAGTTTCTATAGAAAAAGGTTACTTGTCAAATGACATTCAAACATTCTACTGTTTTACTAACTCCTGTTCAGCAAATTATTATTACCCAAAAAATTCTTTACGATGAGATTAAAAGTGTTTACCTGAATACCCTCATTATTTTCTAAGAAGAGGTGATGTGTTTCCTCTCTTTCAGATTCAACTACAAAAGTGAAAACGTTGTTATACAATATGAGTTTTGCCCATAAATAATTTTGACATGCACATGAGCAGAAAAATTTAAAGCACTTTTCACTTACATAAAAGCATTTTCTCAGATGACCTCTCAAAAGTATCTTTGAGAAGATTACACAAGTTCCTGGTTGTGCTGTTTCTGCATTTTAAATTAGTAATATGAAACAGGACATTTTATAAGCAATTTTAAAAATTGCTTAAATTAAATTTAATGTTAAGTATTTCAGTAAATGAAGTATTTACAGTATTTGAGTACATTTTTAAATCAGACTCATGTTTATATGGCTTTTCCAGAGCACATCTAGGGTGTCTAATTTTTCAAACAAAACTCATACTTGTTCCTCAGATCCTCCGCTTCACTGATCTGTTCCTCCAGCTTTATGCTGAGCCTTTCATTTTCAAACTGTACAGACAAAACACACACCACCACAGATATTAAAGCAAGTTTGGGTATGTTGTTCCTCTACTTTCAGTAATACAGAAAAAAAAAATTATCACTGAGACACCCACCTGCAATTCTTGAATGACTTTGCGCTGACTTTCAATTGTTGTTTTGTTTTCTTGGAGTCTCCTTTCCTTTTGTACCACATCAGAGTCAACTTTGACCTTCCAAAATTTTATTTTCTCAACTTCATCAAGCAGTTTGGAATAAAGTTGTCCAGGATTGCCGTTATTCTGGGGTGGGGGGGACAACGACACAGTGATGGGAAGTAGAATAAACATGTTGCAATGGCCAAGTCTGCTCTATTCATGTTTCACATTTTTGTACAATGAAAATAATACCTCATCCTTTTCCAATGGTGGCACAACTTTCATCTTGGGAATATCTTTAGTGAAAACACAGTAATGAATTTATTATAATGTACATGACACTGGCCAGTTCTATGCTGAAACTGAAAGCATTGTTTGATACAAACTACCTTGTCTGGTTGGTTTAGTTGCTGCAAACACACCTGTGCTGGGAAAAGGCACGCTTTGTTCTTTGTCAAAACATTTAGTGTAGCCCTAGGGAAAACCATCAGTTTGATTACTGCCTCTTCGACTACAGTCGCCTCCATTCATGAATGCATTCCGCTTACAACTAGACCTACAAACTATGTTTAAGACCTTCACTGCTGGTAAAACAGTTGGCTAACTAAAGTGCTGAAGGAGTAGTGTTGAAATAGCATCACATTATTGCCTCTACTTTGATCGTTAATATTTACCTATTGGCTAATTTACTTACTGGCTTAGGTGTATTGATGAAATCACCACAGTTCTCGAAACTTTCCTGAGGTCTAACAGCAGATATCTGTCCATTATTCACTCTGGGAGGCACCAAAAGTTTGAAGTTAAAACCTCGGTCTCTCTCCATTCTGAAATGACCACACAGATACATATGCAACTGTTATAATCTCTTATAAAATACAGTAGTGGTGGAAGACGTACACAGACCTTTTACGTAAGGAAAAATACCAGTGCAAAAATGTACAAACACTCCATTACAATCACTAAATAGTGTTAACAGTATCAAAAGTAACCTTTCCATAGAAGAATATCTCATGTGGATGTTATGTGTGTAATATGTGATTTTATAAGATTCTTAACATTGATGCATCAATGTGTAAGCATTAATTTCCTCTTGTAGCACAAGATAAAGAAGAAGCTTTTATTTTATTGTAACATGTACAACAAAATTTTGTTTGGAGCTGAGGGGCCCCGGGCCACTGCGTGCATACGCGCCGCCATCACTGGAAACTTGGGGGACTACAGACACTGAGATTCGAACCTTCAACCTTCCGGTTGGGAGACTACTGCTCTACCCACCGCACTAAACCGCACTACTGTAGCCCCATTGAGTTAATTAGAATAAAACGGTACAACCTAATAGGCTATGACTTAAAACCATGTGCACACGGTGACAGTGGTGCAGAAAAAAAACGGGGGTAAAAAGCTGCTACACAAATGTATTATTTTTATATTGGTCTTTATTTCTTGTGAATTAATGGATAATGTGCACCTCTAGGTATTGAACAGTCGTTTCAATAAAATCATCTGAGAAGTTTAGCATTAAAATGTTTTGCTTTTTTTGTAATGCACTGTGCTTTAATTATATGCTTATTGTGTGTTTGAAGTTAGCATAATGTAAAAGCTGTATCTAGTAGACTAATTTAAATTTAGTCAAATAAATCTAATATTAGCTAGCTACAGTAAGCTAACACTACTGCAGTAAAAAGTACATTACCTTCTGAAATGTACCTCAAAATTGTTCTAAAGTAAAGTTACAGTAGTTGAGCAAATGTGCTTAGTAGGTAGTTAACTTTATATTACTTACTTTCACCACTCAACTAGTTAGCGTTAGCTACAGTTTAAGTTGCCGAACTTTGAGCTAGACATTTTTCGGAATAAAGTAACGTTAGTGAATATAATGTCAGGCAACATTTACATTATTTCCTCCACACGTGATATTACCTTAGCCGTTGTCTAGTATTATTAACGCCAGGTGTTAATATGCCTACTAATTCCGGCTAGCTGGCAAGTTAGCCCTTGACGTTAGCGAACATAGCTAGCATTAGTTAGCCAAGTTGGTTAGCAACCTTCCGTATTTCCAATAATAATAAAAATAACAGAAATAGCCTACGTTAGCTGCCTGGCAAAAGCATAACCGCTGTCACTGCATTATCTTGTTAAACACCCGAGTGTTACCTGTAGTTGTCAGTGATGTTAAATATCGCGCATTTTGTATGACCTACTTAACGCAAAAACCTTACCTGATAGCAGTTAATCTGATGGCACGAGACAGTAAGATGAGCCGTTAACGGTGTGTTTCTAACGGCCACTAATTATCCTGCATCCATAATCGGACAACCGGAAGTGTTCAGGTACCGATGCCACCCCATCATTTGCTAATGATCAATAACTGTCCATCAGAGGACTCGTGCCTGAACATTACGAGCTGAGAAGCTGGTCACTCCAATAAAACTTTGTGGTGCTATTATTTACCCAGATATGTCATTCAGTAAGACATATAAGATTAATAAAAGTAAAACACACTGGTTCTGCCAGCACAAGCCTTTAAGGACATCAGCCAAAGACGCTGTCAGGCTTGCAGAGTCACTATTACAAATTATAAGTTCAGGAGGGAAGAAAGGACAAGGTCGTGCAAGTGGAAATTGATGAATGCATTAAAAAAAAGGGGGGGAGGTCGTTCAGATGGGCTCCTTCAACACACCAGGCCTTCCTGGCATAGGAATAGGACATGCATTATGCAAGCCAAAATGAAATGAAAACACTTGCAATGGTCTAGGTGCCTAAATATTCACAACAGCTCAATTTTAGATTGAAAAAGCATGACTAACAAGCTGTTCTGTACAGAACATTGCTTCAGTTTCCATTTGAAGGGCTCAGTTTGCAGGTGTAATAATTTGATAAATTATGCCTGGGTCCTTCAGCACATCAGTCTTGTCCAAAGCAAAACTACTGCTTAATACTAGTACCCTTGTCTAACAAAGTACTCATAATAACCAAAATGTTGCATTCAAAAGTGTATTCCTACCTTTGTTGTACCTTTTTTGTCCTTATTATTACAAGAGATACAGTCATAGGACAAGGGAAAATGGTATCTTGATAAGTGCTGAAAGGCTGCTCTCATTCACAAGTAGACCTTTGGCATCAGGATCTGCTGGTTGAATGTCATTCTGTGCAAAGAAAGGTGCCTGTTCTGTTGGTTATATAAACAGTTTTGTGTAACACTGCAATGTTCAATCAGGGGAAATAATGTTAGAGGTTATAAATGACAAACAAGCTTTGTATTGTGTGAGGAGACAATTATTTTTTTGTTTTTACTGTGGGTTTTTATAATATGGCAAGAATATATTGTGATAACATGACTCAGTACGATGGAAGCACCTGTTTTATAATACAAACTGATTCATGAATGACTATACGGTGAATGAATAATACTTACACTTTATACTGTATAAAGGATAAACTACATATTACAGAGCTTCTGAGAAACATTTTTAAAGATTTTCTCAGACTTATGAGAAACAGAATACCAAAGACTTTTATGTTGTCAAATGACAGTTTATTAGATTTTCTGACATGTTTCATATACAGTACAGTAACTGGTAGTCAGTGGCACATTTTCTATCATGTGCATATACAAAGCTATTCAAGAAGACTTAGGGAATTATTAATTTTCATTAGGCATTATAAAAAACTGACCTGAAAAACAAGTTTAAAAAAGAAATAAAAAATTAGTATGAATATATTTATGAAAGTCATGTTTTCAAGCCTTCAAAAACAGCATGGTGCTATGAGGTCCTTGTAAACAGGAAAAAAGTCTTTATAAATGTTTCTGAGAGATGGTGTGGAAATCACAGCAAGGTGAGTACTATAAATATGCATTTTCACACAGAATGTTTGCTCTATCTTTTAAAAAATACAATAAAGCTCCGCAATGAACATGTTCCCTGACATCTATTGTTACATTGTATAAGGTTAAATTCTATAATACATACTTCACAATATTAAAATCATACATACAGTATTTATGTATATAATGTGCTTCAGTAAAGTTGTTTAAAATTATTGTGACATGATCTGAGATGAAAAAACATAACCTATTCATATACAATGACATAATGGGCCAAGTAAACTTCAATATAGTTTACAAACACATATGCCAGTCCCTAAAAGAATATTAGAGGTATTTTATGGGGGTTGTTCATAGAGCTTAAAGGGCATAATAGGTGTGTAAATATTTTATATTAAATCGTAAGTGAGGCTATGATTTCTGTTGTGCTGAAACAGCATGGCAGTTGTAAATGAGACAGGAGAATGATTATCAGTGCTGTTCCACTAACACATCTGTGTTTGTCATGAGCATACACCTCACAGGAAACATTAAAAGTTAACATGCTATAGAACATTAGACAGTGTCTTCTGTGTTCCTAGCCTCTGCTACCTCTTTAGCAGAACTGTCCCTGTTGGACTTTTCTCTACCTCCCATCCTGGCCCTCCTCTCCTCCTCTTTTTTCTCTTTTTCCAGTAGACGATAGTTGATTCCCATCGCTACGAACAGGAAGACACTGGCGATGATGAGGAGGATCCCACAGCCCTGGTATGTGTACTTGTAATCATGATAGATGTCCTTGAACTTCCCTGCGAGCACAAAAAGTAATTCAGAATTTTTAATCACACTCATCATTCTGCTGTGGTTAACAACAAATGAATACATTAAAATGGAAGTTCATATATGGGTGATACTCACCAAGCAAAGGGGGCCCCAGCAACACAGGACCACACTCCATAATAGTGACCAACCCAACAGCACTGGCGAAACGCTGAGCTCCCACCAGGTCCATCAAGGTCTCAAACAGCACCGAGCTCAGCCAGCCATAGGCAAACCCAAAGAAGACGGCATAAATAATAAAGCCTGTGTAGTCAACTGATATTGGTGCCAGAACATGACACACACCATTGTACAGCACAGAAATTGCAAAGAAGTACTGTACTCTGGGCCGGACCCATTTGGTGTTAGCCACCATGCCCATTACAGGGCGGGCAACCATGTCAACAAAAGCTAGCACAGACAGTAGGAAAGCTGCCTTTTCTTTAGGGATATCTTTACTCTTTGCATAATTACTGAGGAACACCAGTGGTGTGAAAAGACCAAAAAACATGACAAAGCTGCCCGCATTATACAGCAAAAAGCCACGGTGCTTGAACAAAGAGAGGTCAATGAAGCTGTTAATTTTCTGCATCACTGTCCTACTCTCTGTGGTCTTTACTGGAGGTTTTGGTTTCGGTCCTATAGGCCGCATAAGGGAACCAGCAACACAGCAGTTGAAGAGCAGGCCACCAAGAATCAAGAAACTTCCTCTCCATCCAAACTGGTCAAAGAACCAGGTGTTCAGAGGAGCCAGGGTGGAGAGAAAGACAGGGCTGCCAGCCATAGCAATTCCATTAGCAATAGGCCGCCTCTTGTAGAAGTACTTTCCAATCATGACAAGGGCAGGGTTGAGGTTGAAGCTCAGTCCCAAACCTAACAGAATCATTGCAAAAATGTGTTAGTGCTAAGTACAGAGCTTAAAAATAAGGATTAAACATAATGTTTGGAGATTTGGTATTTCTTGGTGTTTTTATTTTGTGAGGAACACTAGATGGCAGCAGTGCACAGTAAAAAAGAAAAAAAAAGGTGAGTCATGACCAAATTTTAAAATATAGAAAGTTAAATTTAGGTACCTCCCAACACACCAATACAGAAGTATAGTGCTTCAACAGTTGTGCAGAAAGAGGCAGCAATAAGGGCACACCCAGACAGGCATCCTCCTGCTATCATCACAGGACGACATCCGTACTTATTAACCAGGATGCTGCTGATAGGACCTGAAGAGGAAAGATCAGCATTTTAACACACACACACACACACACACACACACACACACACACACACACACACACACACACACAATGCAATCTGAAATATGGTGCTTTCTATCTAATCATCAATACAAATTTTCATATTTAACCACCAGAGGGCTCTGGTGCCACATCTGTGCCTCAGCAAATTTAAACTTCTCATTTTTGTCAGTGCTGCACTGCAGTAGATGTGCTCTCCTGCCATTAATAATGTGATCTGTCAGAAAAACCATGAAAGCGCTAATAAACTACTCATTTATTTGGTTCAGAGTCTTATAAAAATTGACAGAGAAATAATTTGTTTGTGATTTCTTCTTAAATGGACTCTAAACACATTTGAAATGATCACTGGAAGTTCCTCAGTTCTAACAAGTAGGTGGGGGGTATTAGTGTGTGTGTGTGTGTGTGTGTGTGTGTGTGTGTTTTGGTTCTGGGTGGAGGGATGGTGGGGGTTCTAAGCACTGGCACGTATATGGGTTAAAATAACTACTGAAATCTTCTTTCTGACATTTTGTACAGTTTTGGCACCTGCTACCCTAGTTCCAAAGCAGGAGTGACTGAATGAGGCAACAGCAAATCAGCATATTAATATGTAACATGCATGCACCTTGGATTCAACATCAATTCAAGAAAATCACTATGACTTGTAAACAAATGACGAAAATGCGAGGAGGGTTCAGGTCACAAAACACTCTCTCCATCTACGGCTTATAACAACTGGCCTAAATGAATATGAGGATCCACACGGAAGAAGCTTCTGCCTGCCTGCCAAATCCCTGCACTACCCAATGAACCTAAATAAAAACTGACAGTTTTTGTTTAGAGGTTGTCCAGACTCATTTGCCAGCATGGCGCAAGACAAAGGGTTTTTAAATTGTAATGCAGGCAGTCTCCACACTAACAATGAGTTCTTTCCTTCTGCCTTGCAGGGAGACTTGCCTGGGATAAAAAGGTTGGAGACAAACCAATGTAGAATATTATGAATGTAATGAATCAAAAATTGAAGGAGTACAGAGGTAAGCAACAGTAGGTTGGTAATGAACTTCTCCTGCTTATGTGCTCAGGATGTTTAACATAGAGACAGTTACAGCCTCAACCATCATCTGCTCACTGCCATGACAAACATTTACTCACTTATTCTCAATTACCATGCATAGCTTGCTTTCATCTGTTTATATTTACATCTAAATATTTGCATTAATTGATTATTAAGTGTTACATCTGAACATGCATATCGAGTCCACTATGGCTTACATCTTTGGGCAGATCTCACTTTTTAGTCTTGAAAAATGGGGGTAAACCCATATAAGCTTTGATCCCTTATCTGCTGCTTCTGACAGGAAGCATTAAAAATGAAAAACCATAAATATACTATATTCTCATAGTGTAACACAGTAAACTTTAACCACTGCTTCTATGGCCAGAGTGTCACTCTGCAGCTACTAGTTAAGGGAATGTGTTGTCGAACATTAAGCAGCATTGATTCCTTTTCCAGGGACTGTGGTATTTCTGTTGCTCACCTTTGACATGTAATACTTTGAGTAAATAGCAAACATTTGGAAATTCGTTGTTACGGAATATATGTAGAAAAAATATAATATAAACATACTGTAGGTTTTAATGTTAAATTCTTGCCACTATGCAATGGATACATTGCTAGTCTAGCAAGAAAACACTGTCTACTTTATATGATTGCAAATAACTTTTACACCTGAGCCAGAACAGAAGATTCAATTTAAAGTGTTTGTATTATAGTTTCCACTTTACATTAGATTGGCACACTGAAGCGACCTTCTAGAAACGTCCCTGAGATTACACAGAGATTCCTGTGTCATCATTTCCCCCATTTTACCACACATTAGAGGGAACTGCTGTGTTTTGATTTCACGACAGACGGTCCTAAGGGACAAGGAGCGCTCCTTTGAACTGTTTTCTCTGTGTTGAATATAACACACATGAATGGTAGTTTATCGCCACCTGCCTGGTCAGACCTGCTGTGTGTGACATCACCCATTGTGTCATTCATTTCACTGCTGCAAGAATACAATCAAGCCCTGGGTGGTCTTCCACTTTCAAAGTGCAAAAGAAAACAGTACAGAGGTATAAAGGCTAAAAAGCTATTTGTGTGCTCCAGAGACGGATAATGTTGCGCTCCTCACTAGAAGAGTTACAGTATTAGTTTATCTCCATGTGAAAAGCCTGAGAATCTGTGGCCTCTTTATGGACAAATTCTGTATATGAGCAAAAAGCACTGGATGTCTGACAGGAAGCTCACCTCCGCCGTACATGACGGCTAACATGATGGAGGAGATCCAGGACACCTGACTGCTGGACACATCGAAGATCACCTCAATCTCTTTGAAGAAGACAGTGATGCATTTGGGAAAGGCATAAGAGAAGCCAATAGAGATGAAGGCCCCTGTCACCACCATCCAACCCCAGCCACCCTCAGGTGGCGTGTAGCCTTCAGGACCACCAATGGCGACCGGCATTTTTGTTCACCAACCTTCTCTTCCAATGCAATACGTTTTACAGATATGATGGCCTGTTCGGGAGAAAACAGAGCAGCACAGAACATTACTAGATTAGTTGTTAGCATTTTAAAGAAAGATTTAAAATTTTTCTTTGCTATTTATGAGACAGATGAACCTCAGATATGTTATTGTTGAAAACAGTTGGACTGTTAAAAGTAGAAGACCTTGTGAATACATTAACTCATCAAACTGTGAAACGCTGTTTGATATACTTGGTGATACTTTGTTCTTTCTCATGGCCATTTTGAGTTGAACTTTTGTCCTCAACTTTCAAACAGGTGACGTCAACAGTTGTGAACATTTTTGTATAAACTCTGCGAATGGAAACAGTAACAGCTTCATTTGGTGTTCATTTGGTGCACACCCCAGAAATCTTGCAAATGATTATAAAGCAACTGATACCTAACTGGACAACAAAAAGAAGAAACAGCCCAATAACATAACAAATTTCACATAGAATCAAAAATATACCTGAAGTCACAGAGATATTTTACACAGGTTAACAACACTGATACAAAACTATTCAGAAGTGCTGGTGTCAAATGTTTCAAAGCTGAGGACAAAACATTGTGTTCATGTCAGACAGACACTGGAAGAGATGATACAAAAACAATGAAAAAGAAAATTGTTACTGCAGTAGCACAGCTCTTTTCACCCTTTAATTATTCAATTACAGCCATGATTTTGATCCTTTGAGCAACTAGTGAGTGCTCGTCATATCTTTTAAACTTTTTAGAATGTTCCCCTTATGTAGAATATATTAATATTGAATGCTATGTGACAGTATTGATCTTTGTATTTTTTATGCCCTTGACCTCTGTTTTCTCTCATAACCCTCATCTTTTGTATTGACTGACATTTATATTCTCTGTTGGAGGCCTCTTGTTTGATTCACCATCAAGAGGCGCAGCTTCCAGTACACACTGTGTATACTGATCTATAAGTACCACTGAATACCTCTGCTTTTGCTTTATTTGTAAAGAGATCAGATTTATCAAAAAAATATTTTCCTAACTTGACAACAGAGTTTGAGATTAGGGATGCCATTTGTGACTTTGCTTTGCTTTGAATTGCTCTCTGCATGTATTCACTGAGCTGCCACCCACTGATCTCTCACAGTCTCACTTTAGAATTGATGAATAAGAGTCCATCTGCAGAGTCAAACAACTTACTGTATTGTTTACATAGGACAGACTATCCAGAGTGAACATCGATCAGACTATGAGCACAAGTAGAATTTATACTGCTCAATAGCTCAGGGCTATGCTCGGGGGCAGGTGATGTTATAGTGTTTTTCAGCCAAGAAGGGCTTGATTTGGTTGATGAATTGGTTTAGTGCTCTGAAAACCTATTGGATAAGCCAGGTGTATGCAGCGAGTAGTGAATATTTAATGTGTTAAAGAACTTCTGTTATGGAGCTGGGATCTTAACTGCTGCTATGCAGCTGTAAATGTGCCTTCTGCAGTTACAATAGCTAATGGAAGATAAATAAGAACTTATGTCTCTTATACAAACATTATGGGTTGCTTGGAATTACTAGATAATATCCACTTGAGTGCAATTATATTACATTTGCAAACAGATAACATAACACAACATTGTATAAAGTTTTGAGTATAAAGTGCTGTTTTTTATATCCTACACATTTTAGATTGGATGGCAAGGATTTGGTCTGTGCAAAGTTGAATAATGACAGAGGCATGTCTGTTTAACACTGTTGTCCCAAGGAGGTAGAAATGTTAGGAACAATGTAATCAATACATCTGCCTGCACACTGTTTAGTAACATATGGCTGTAATAAGCTTGCACATTGATTTTTTTAAGATCAACTCATTGACATCATGAGTTCTTTATAAATTGTTACTGTTCAGCAAATATCTATATCTACAAAGGACAAACAAAGTAGTTCAGCAGTTCATCACTTATGAAATTACTGTTTAACTGTGTTTTTTTTTCCAAAATTGAGAAGAAAATTTTGATAATAATCTTTGTGTTAAGTATGGAGCTGGTGTGGTTAGCCTAGCTAACAACAGCTACTTAGCGCCCAGCCCTTTCCTTAGCAGTTTGCCCTGCCTGCAGTCTTTATGTTAAGCTAGGCTAAACATCCTAACTGCAGCTGTGAACTAAATGCACAGATATAACATGGAAGTTTATTCATGCCACTCTCAGAATGAAAGAAGTTAGGTGTACTCCCAAAATTGCGGAACCATTCCCAGTAGCCGCTTTGCTCATAAATTATCTTTGTTTTCATTAGTCTCTAGTTTTATTACACTTGTTTCCAACTCCATTAGTCTAATTAATGTTATTTAGAAACCAGCTTGTACACCAAGGATTTGTTGTCCCTCTACTTTCTGAGGGTTTTAAGGTCTAATTAAAACCTTGAAACAACAAACATTCCTCTATTACTGTCAGCAGTATATCCTTATTAAATCTTGGTGGAACATTTTTGCAGTTCCCACTTTTACTTGATGTTAGTGTTCTATACACTCATTTCATGTGTGATCGTGTGGTGCTTTAGTGTGACAGCTAAGTTGTCGTCACCTTTGAAAAACACAACAAGTGAACGTTTAGGGTTTCACCTTACACCTGTCACCTTTCCCACTCTGAAAATCAAAGGTCTCCACAATGAGCAGATAGTTTAGTTTAAATATTGTCACTGCCTGAAAGCAGTCACCACACATCCACAAGGCAGTCTTTCAAAAAGGACTGTATGCTGGGGAAATGTTCTGTGCTGGCAACAAAGACAAAAAAAAAAATGCTCAAAAGAAACTGAAAATTTCTGAAGTTGACAACAGATGATTAATGGAAGTGTGAGTTAAGACAGACAGGACTCAAGATAAAATAACAGAATTGCAGAAATAATGAATAAAACTGATAATTTCATACTGAGGATTGATTGCTGGGGGTCTAATAATTCAGTGAAAAGTGCAGAACTGATTCATTTAAGCCAAGTAGGAGAATGAAAAAGTAGACAACTCAGCAGAGGCATCAGTGCTACACCCCCATCACAATATAACAATCCAAATAAAGCAGTCAAAGTGGGTAGCCTGGAAGTGCCACTTGACAACACACATAGCAGAGTGGGCTCAGCAGTGAGACGACACGATTCTAAGCCACCGCATAAAGAATACAAAGCTGAATCATCCTTGGAATTAATTTGACTAATGTGGGTCACTTAGTTGCAGCCCTGTCAAGACCCTGGGTTTGGTTTGTGAAGCAATGAATCCCTGTTGATAGACTTGCTCAACTTTAACAGAGGTACCTGATACAAAGCACCTGTTCACAGAAATATTATTTATATGCTACATTCAAGGGCTCTATTTCCACAAACCCTCTCTAGTAGAGTGTCAGACCAAAAATTTCATTTCCTTAGTTTATTGTTTGAATTGGTGATGAACTATACTACATTAAATAAATCATCAAAATGGTAATGTTGGATAGATTCACAAAAAAGTGGCTGGAATACTGATGAAAATTTATTCTCCCTGAAACCATGCTCTGCGGCTCTTATGATTCCGGGTTTCCAATACCACATATTACATCTAGTGACTTTGACTGATCAATTGCAGATGAGGAATAGTATGTTAAATATTTGCTCACACATGTAATAAGTATTGTTATAACACCTACAAAGCAATATGAATTTCATGAATAACCAGCTGAAAACAGCCTATTTATGCAAGCAGTTATTTGTGAAGTGATGTCTGGCAAATGTTAAATGTGCAGTGTCTGTGTCAAGCATCTTACCTTGGCAGGAGCTCTTGAGCAGAGGAGCTCTGAGATAAACAGCACTATCTGAGGCACGTTAACACACTGCAGACATCACTGAATGGGAGTGAATATCTCTGAATATGCATGAAAAAAAGAATTATAGCATATGTTTCTGAGATAGTCCAGAACTGATCTGTGGGTCTATATCCAGTGTGACACCCCAGAGGTTTGCAGTGGCACCTCAGCCTCAGACTTTATCTGTTTCCACTGAATAAAGTGACATTGAAAAGTTGTTTATTCAGTGCTCAGATCAAACAGCTGGACGATGTGAAAGAGTGGTGAGGTCAGTTCTTATTGGCAGTAGGAGGCTTAGTGCCATGCCCCTACAATGCTTTCCCCACCCCTCTGACATGTGCTGAGCTCACATACAATGTGTTCAGCCCTGTAACACATGACTTACAAGGATATTGAATAATATCTGCACCTTAGGAGATATGATGCTTTCTTAAACGCTTACTTTCTGCTTTAGCTGACTTATCAGTGCTACTGAATTGACTAAGGGAAGTTTTTCCTATAAGAAATGTGGTTTTCTTAAGCAACAGACATTATCTCAAACACGTGAAAGAAAGATTTTTGAACACTTCAGGGGTTAGTTCTGGTTGAGCTTCTCTCTTAAACTCCCTGAGGAGTTATTAATGAGGCTGTATAAGAGCTTGGCAGTGTGTACTTGCAAAGAGCCTTAAAATACTTGAAAAATTATTTCTTTGTTACATTGTTTTGTGTTGTTTTCCTCATTTCTATACTCCAGTAAGAAGTCTTATTGCTTTACAAACTGAGGTAAAGCGCCACCTGAAATTCAGCGATTTCTCCTGGGTTAGCATTTATTCATATATTTGAGTGTGAAGAATGGAAATTTATTTGGGACAAAAACATTCATATTTGCTCACTTAAGCATGCACACGCACACACACACAGTATATATGAATGAATACAAGCATAAAATGCTAAACACACTCTTCTTCTTTGTTAACCCTCTAACTGTATCCTGTTCATTTTGTACTTAAGCCAGTGGCACCATCACTTTGGTCCAGACTGTATCAAGAACTACTGGACAGACAGGACGGTATAGACATTCATGGTCCACATGATGAAGCCTACTGACCCTGGGGATCCCCTGACATTTCCTGTAGTGCCACCAGCAGGTTGACATTTGTGCTTCTGATTGACTGTCATTAAATATGCTACATATATTCAAGGTCGCTGGAGGATAAATTCTAATGACTCTGATGCTTCTCTGATGTTTCCTGTAGCACCACCAGCAGGTACAAGTTTTCACTTATTCGGTTAAATGTTTTAAAATCTTTAGGATTGACATTCAAACATTCATGGTTCCTAGATTATATTTTCTAATAAATTGTGGGTCTCCTGATTTGTCCTCTGGCACCACACGGTGGTTCATATAATTGGTATTTGAAATGTCTCAACAAATATTGGATAGATTGCATTGGAATTTGGTAATTGGTCTTATACATAGTGCTTTTCTATGCATTGATGCACAGTCAAAGTACTTTACACTACTTTCCATTCACACACTAGTGGTATCACCTGGAGCAACTAGGGGTTCAGTATCTTCCTCAAGGACACTCTGACATGCAGATCGAACCGCCGACTCTACAATTTAATTATGGGACAACCCACTCTACCTCCTCAGCCACAGTGACCCCTTTGCTACTGACATTCATGGTCCCCAGAGGATTAAAGGGAATAACATTGATACAATGATCTAGTGCCATCATCAGGTCAAATTTTATGTTATTAATGCCTGCGAAACTAATGACTTTCTTGCTAGCCTCAGCTGTACTTTGCACTTAGTGCAAATAAACAAAGGTTAGTCTTGTTTCTGCATGCATGGTTACAGTTAGCTGCCATTTCTGGTTTAAATCTGAAAAGGACCAGTGTTTGAGATAAAACCATATCACCACAGCATGTCTTTCTCTTGTTTTTCTGAATTGTGAGGAGCTGTACAATCAGTGCCTCTCAGTTTCTATCTTTGTCTCCCTATGCAATCCCTTTGAAGAAATAACATTTTCTGTCATGCAGCTGATCAGTGGAGGTACAGAACCTGCCCGCTTTTATCAGCGTAATCACTCTCAGTGAGCCAAATCTCCACTAAAAGACTCAGGGACAATAATATCATCCTCTCTCCCATCTCATAATGTGTCTGTGGTCTGTGGCCTACGTGTCTGACCTGTTGTTACCCTGGGAATTAATTGTTCTAATCCTATTGCATGAGCATTCAGGAACCAGTGTATAGTTTTTGGCCTGTGGAGGTGGGGGGGTAGTCATGCTTAGTGAAGGGTTTATGTTTAGTAATGAGGCTGCAAGATACACCAGCCATGTAAATATGATTTTAAGTTGCAACTGGCAAGTGCACTGAACCAGTGTGAAACCTCTGTACTAGAAAGTGAAGTGACAACAAGACCATGTCCACAGCACAAGGTAACTATTTGATCTGTATACAGCAGATACTTTGTTAATCAGCTTATGCTTCTAGAAATCTATTTTTTCTTTTTACAAGGGGTGGGGGTGAATTTGGGTTGCTCAACCAACCTACAAACATTTAGTTTGACACATATTGCATCTTAAAGTACAAGTGGATGATGATGGACTAATGGCTGCAAAGAACGGTGAACCACTTTAGTTCAAAATCACTATGGCAGGAAGTGATGAGTAAGGACAAGAGCCTATGAAGTTGTCTAATTGTCATTCGACTGTTTGTATGAAGTCAAATACTGGCCTGTAGCTTGGTGGTTTCAAATCATTGCTGAAGAAACCTTATTGCATTGTGGCAGGGATTAAAATTGATTAAATCAGCTATGTGAAACACAGCTTCTATACAGCATAATAAGCAGTAGTGTGAGTGCTATACATACTCGATCAAACGAGGACATTCTCAGTCAACGTGCCCCACCAGTGTTCTTTGTTCATTACTGTGACTGATCTTTCAAGCAGCTGCCTTGTTTTCAGATGCAATGCTTTGCCCTACTGTATATGCCACCTCATCAAGTGCACAGCATGCACCTCTTCTTTTTACTCATATTACTAAATAAATATGATCTGCCACACAATGAGAACATGGGGTGTATCACAAAGCTGGTTGTTTTACAAAAACAACACCAGCAGTGTAACCAGGAATCAAATAAACACTGCACCACCTCCGACTTCGACTGGACTGAATGCAATTGCACCGTGGCCGACAGTATTGACATTCACAGGTCAAAAGTCAGTGGCAATTACCTTTTGCCCAAGCAAGGTGGTACAGATCAAAGAGGAGTAAATCAGGCTTGCTGAACCAAGAGAGAGCGAGGTCTTCATAAGGGTCACGGTGCTGCAAAACCAATTAGCTCACACATACAAGTAGAACAACATATATTCCATTTAGTGGAGAGCTTTCACCTCTTACTATATGAAAAGGCCCCACTGCAGCCTCTAGCTCAAAAGCTAACACACATAAACTCTTTGTGTGTTTCTCTCTGTTCCTCTCAGGACAGAAAAAAACATTTTTGGCAAATGTTTTCTACTGTGGAATAAAGCCAAGCAATGGAGTTACTGAGACACTGAGCCTGAAAGTGACTGAGAGCCTGTCCAGCTCTGGCTTCCACAGCAAATGCATTATTTGCTCAGGAAAGCAGCTCAGGGAACAATTAGTCTCTTCAATTTCCTACTAAAGGATATAATGTTCTTATTAGATCCTTGAAACTTGAGGCAATACACTTATCACATGAGGATACAAAGCACTGAGTCAAGTACAGAGCTGTGGCTATGCATTTCAGTATTTTTAAGTCCTAACTGAGTGAGCACTGTAAATAACCAAAAGTTAGCAGTGATCGCTTTGTCAAGACTTGTTTACACATCCAGATACCTCTTAATATGAGGAGAAAACCTTAATATGTCAACTGTACCGCCTTGTTAGTAGATCCTAATGTAGTCAGCAAAAACATCTAATCCAGGGTGGTAGTTTCAGTTCTCTTTTGGTCAAACAATGATGATTTATGCACACTTTAAAACAGCTTTAAACAGTAGGTATGAGCAATGGGTTTATCAGAGCGTGTTTAGTGAGAACAGCTGCCTGCTGAGGCTGAAAGTGATGCTGATAAGAACAAAACAAACCTGTGATGTTATGGGCCTTAAAAACCAAAGCAATGAGCCAAAAGATGTTAAAATGCTTTGTAGAGCCGAGGCAAACTACAAAGCTGGGTAATAATTAGACTGGAAATTATCTTAAGTTGGTCTGGCTTAAAAAATGTAAGTTAAAGCAGTTTAAATTCACTTAAAATATTGTGCCAGTCACTCTGACAACTGTTATTGTACAGATGTAAAGGTAACTGTGCTGACACCAACAGGGAGAATACAGAACCTGAGTCCTGAACTTTGAACTTTACATTCTTTGTTAAGCTTAAAAACCTGGTGCTCACAGCAACTTCAAAATTAACCTGATCATGTAACAAAACCGCCAATCACGTCAACATTTAGTGGGGTGCATCCTGGGTAATCATTACAACAGCTCCAACACAGGTATTTTCTAGATACACCTGAGTACATTAATTCCATTACACAATTTAATCTTTCTAATTTGTATCGAGCTGTGCGGCTAAATACGAGGGTGACTGTGCATCCTAATGTGAACAACCAGAGCAGAGTACAGCTCTGGGCCAGAGCCTCTGCACCATGTATCGAAGCATTTTATTAAATCACAAAAGCATTTTTGTGTAACTGTATATTTGAATGCACCGTTATGTACACGTCAGAGCACGTTTCAGTGTTATCACAGAGATTTTGAGACACGCATGGTACAAACTGTACAGGCATAAAGTGGCCGGTGAAAGGGTCGGAAACGACAACACCAGAGAGTTTTCTGCCACACAAGCTTTGTTTTGATCTTTTGTTTGTTTGCAAACCTCCTTCCTTTCCATCAAACACAGAAGCAGACACAGTGTATACTCTGACTCTCATATGGAGCACTTCAAGCATTCCTTTGTGCCGACAGATGTCTGGCTACACAGCGCTTCCTGCCATAAAGGCTACAACCCACTGCAACTTGTAACAAACATGCATGTGTGCTCACGTACAGCACAGGACCGATGTTCTCCTCTGTTCTCTGGAACAGTCTGCACCTGCCATGCATGCATGGTTTCCCTGTGTAGTTTTCTGCGCAGGTGCTGGTGTTTTTATGAATGTAAAAGCAGTGGTGAATATGTATTTACTCAAGTACAATTCTGAAGTGTCCTTGGGCAAGACACTGATCCCTCAAGTTGCCCCTGATGGTTAGAGCCA